ATTTTTCAACCACCCATCTCCCCCCAATGGGGGAACTCTGGGTTACTCTCTAAATACAGGTTTCTCATTTGAAACTCACTGGAATTCTTGTGCTGCAACCATAATGTTCCTTTTAATAAATATTACTAATCAGGGCTTTGAAAGACTTGTTCTGTAGATTAACTATTTCCAGTCCAGATTGCTGGGAGGGAAGTCTGATCCTATCCTGCCCTAGAAGTCTTAGTCCAGGAATTCTCAAATTGTGAGTCAGGACTGCCTGGGACTTTCTCAGCAACGTGGTGGGGTGTCACAAGTTTTTCTTTTAACTCTGTCTGATTAGGCTTGTGCAGACAAAGCAGAAGGACTGTCAAAATTCACTCCAGGCTTTGCTCCTTGCTGTATTTGTGGAAGCCCACAGTGAATATTTGCAGTACTTTAAAATCCGAGAACCCTTGGAACATATAGATTAAAATGCAATGATTAAAAGTAGAATGTTTATTTCTTGCCTAACCATAATCTCAAAGTAATTAGTTTTATTCATATGGGAGTCACATGGATTCATTTATAATTTTAGGGGATCACAATACCACAACTTTTGGGAACCACTATCTCTTCCAAGAACTAAGCCTATCATGACTTGGTTAAATAGCTACAAACATTTTCTGCATTTATGACAAGAATTAATACAAAAATAAAATTCAGAAAAAATAGGATAACGAAAGAGCTATACATGTAAAGGGCATACAATCTGGCTCAGACTATATTCATCAAATTTAAGAGTTAGCTTGAGAATAGAAGTATGCCTCATTATAACTACATGTGTTAGTATGAGTCAACCCTTTATATGGTAATTAATTTATATGAAGCATTGCAACTGATTTATATTTTCAGTTTACTGAACATTTACATAGGACATGACAATATGGAATATATGTTTCTACAAATATTTTTGCCTTATAAGTACAAACATATCTGGAGTTTTCTCCTGAAAGTTGATTTTCCTCTTTAATTTCAGGATAATTTCTTTGTACTGTCATAGTGTAACTTAATTGTAGGGAGAAGAGAATTTCTACCATTAAAAGAAGAGACAGACAGGAACACAATTGAGCGGTCCACTGAGATCTGATTATCTGATGTAATTTAAGAGAACAGACTTATTAATTATTTATAGTGTTATGATAGCTGGTTTCTACCCATAGGGACAAACTCCTCTTAATGTACAAGCTAAATCCACTTACTAGGTAATAAGTCCTATTGAAATTAACAACTCATTTCTAAGTAAGTGAAGTTTGAGTGGCAAATACATGTACTACAGAAAGTGCCACACATGTTATGACATAAAATACAACGTACATAGCACATTTAGGCATGTGTGGCAAAGCAAATATGAGTTGCATGATGGTTGGCATGTACTATAACTGACATATTTTCTGTAGGCATTCTCCACTGCTATTAAGATCTGTATGATAAAACAGATATAGCCTAAGCAGACCCAATAACTTAAAAATTTCTCCATATTCTATGAATGTAGTAGTGGTTTAATCCATATTTAATCCATCTTTGTCACAGAACAGTCTCTATAGTAATTGCAGAGACTCTTAACTTCAAAATAAGGCATTTTAAGAGTTTGTATAAGAGCCAAATACAATGATTAATTTCAGTAGATTGTAGAATCCATTTTATTTATTAAAAAACAACATTTTTCTATGTCAAGAATACGTGAGGATTTAAAAAACAAGTAATAGCAGTTACAATTTTTGTAAAAGCATTTATTAAATACACAAATAGTCAAACTTTTTCAAAAATAATTTAGAAATGTTTACATGTTTTCTAGCCTTTTTAGTTGAAGGGATTTATTACTGAACTTGTCCTTTTTTGAGAGTATTAATATTCAAACAGTAAAATATCTGTAGCCTTTCCACTACTGCTAACTTGACAATTCATGTCTTGAAAATTGTCAGCCATAAAGGCGATGATAGATAGATAGATAGATAGATAGATAGATAGATAGATAGATAGATAGATAGATAGATAGATAG